AAACAAAAACAAAAAAAAACACCAGTAAAAAGGAGAGGTACGTATCTTTTTTCATATTAAGATTTTTTTTTTACGAAGTGGGTACTAAATAGCAGCTCCTTGTATTTTGATCATTTTGATTCCCTGCTGCACTGAGTTCAGTACAATTTGACCTGTCAGAGCTGAAGCAAAGACAAATGATATCACTGTCCACAGTAACAGTCAGATACCTACTCTTAGGGTGGGCCGTAAATGACAATTTATTTTCTAGAATGGCAGTTGGGGTGACGTCTCCCCTTGAACACACAGGTTCCCGAGACTGATTCAGCCATTAACTCCAGAGATTTTTCAATATGGTGAAACATTTTTGCATGCAATTTCAAACTCCTAGTCCTCAGGATCTGTAAACTGGCGGATCCTGGCCAAGCATCACATTGGGTAATTAATTTTGAGGAAAGTAACTATTTAAGACCACACTTTTTTTTGCAGGTTGGAAGATGAATGGGGATTTTGTTAAATCATTTATGTGATTTTTTTTTTTCTTTAATTTATGATTATACCCTTTTTTCTCCTATTTATGTACATTTTTTTCTACAATTAAACTGGGGTGAAATGGAAGAGCACTCACTGCTCGGGCTCATTGACTCAGTGTGTTTACATTTAGCTTTGTTAAGCTCTGTGCTTGTTCACACATACAGCTGTCACTGGTGTTTTTTCACCCCAGATCAATGCCAATCATTGCTAGGGCACAAAGAAAACAATTGTTTTCCATGTGCCCCATTCACACCACAACACTGCTGTGATGTGCGGTTCAGTGAAATGCGTACATACTGCATTTTTATGCAAATAAATTTAGCAAAGAAACAAAAAACAAATATTGCCTCGTGTTGTAACAAGCAGGCACTAGCCCCATGGTAAAATGCAGCATTTTACCATGCAGCTAGTATGAATGAGCCATAAATAAGACTGCTTTTTGCAAAACAGGTAATGATGCATAGGAAAATATGTGAAAAGGAGACTAGAGCTCCACCTTCTGGCTGCATTATTTGCCAGTACAAAGCATTCCTATGCTAATATTTTACACACCCACACACCCACATATATATATATATATATATGTTG